AAGATTATTTGTGCAGAGTCATCCCTGCGGGTCTGTCCAGGATGGGTTCCCAGAACCCCCACCTCTGCAGACAGTAGAATGCACACTGCTCAGGTCCCTTGCGTGAAAGTGCCATGGCGGTTATGTATAACTGAGGCATGTGTCTGTTTCCTCTTGTCATGGCAAGCTGTTCCCCCAAAGCCTTATGTACTCATAGGTAGGATTTTAGGGAGGTGTTTGGGTCACGGGTGTGTGATATTAGGGTTAAATGTGTGGATAACTAAGTTATTTAACATAGATCTAGGTGTTAATGGCAGGTGATGGAAACCCCACCCTGGTTCTGATGGAGCCACCGAAAGGGTTTGTGTCCAGGATGGGACAAAAAGGAAAGGGAGGCTGCTGCTGCTGCCTCCTGACTGCCCTGCCATAGTCTGTTTCTCCTCTGCCGTGTTAGCCTCCCTCACAGCCAGCCAGTGGTACTAACTGTGAGTTAGAATAAACCTTTCCTCCTTTAATTTCAGGTGTCAGGTGTTTTGCCCCAGCGATGAGAAACTTCCTAAGCCACCCACATACTTTCATAATCCCTAAACTGCAATATTAATCTCTTGCCTGTTGCTGGGACTTAATGCCCATCACCCACAGTTTAGAGGAGGAAAGGTTTGCTTTTGCTTATGTTTTCCATGAGTTCAGTCAGTGGTAAGTTGTTTCCAAGGCAGAAACATCATGATGGAAAGGTACAGAGGAGGAGAAATCTGCTTATCGCTTGGCAACTGGGCAACAGAGAGAGAAGGGAAGAGTCAGGGATAAGCATCCACCCTTCTGGGGCCAATAAACACCTCCTCCAACTAGGCCACGCTTCCTAACTTACAGTGCATGTCTTCCTGCATGACTTTGATTCATGGTAGAAGCATCAGGTGTGGACACTATGATGAAGGAGAGCTGACTGCGTACTTTTGGACACCAGCCCCTTTTCTCTGCACACAAGTGAGGCCTCAATCTGAGAAATACCTCTCCCTTCCCTTCTGTGCTGTCCCTGTGCCAGTGTAATTCATCTTTTTTGTGTGCATGTACGATAAGAACACTAAAGAGCTTATTTCACTGGATTTCAAACATACAGTGTTATTAGCAGCAGTCTGGAACACTTGGTCTCAGAGCTCAGATCTGTCTCTTACCTAAAAGTTGCTGTTCTTTGTCTGTGTCTGCCTGTGGACCACCTAGTTAGCACCTGCCCCTGGTAAACACCTTCTTTCTCCATTGCTACCACCTTGACTGTTTGAAGTTTCACATACAGGTGAGATTGTGAGTCATTTGCCTCTGTGCCTCTTGGCTTGTTTTGGTGGGCACAGTGTCATTGTCCCATCCCTGATGTCATGAAAAGTAGCAGTTCATTTTCTTAAAGGCTGAATAATATTCCACTGTGTGTGTACCCATGGATGAATGGATTCAGGAAGTGCATATACATATGTACTCATGAATGTATGTGTATATTTATACACATTTATTTAAATGGATGAATGACACATTAAATATGTTACATATACACACATAAGCAGAGGTGTCTATTTGTGTGTATAATGACATGTAAACCCTTCACAGTGTCTCTGTTCATCTCTCAGTGTGTACACATCTTGGCTGTTGTGACCTGCTCCCATAGATGTGATGGTACAAATATCTTTAAAATAATGATTTTCTTTCTTTTGATTATGATCCCATCAATCCTTCAGTGCTATGGTGGTTCTGTTACCAATCTTTTGAGTCACCTCTGTGCTGTTTCCAATAAAGGCTGGACTAATTTGCATCCTCCCCAGCAGCACAAGAGAGGTGGTGGGTGTGTTCATTGATAATCACTTCACAACATTTGTCTAATTACATCATCACTGTACATGCCTTAAATGCAGAGGTTCTGTGAATAAATGACAGAGTTGTGTCCTTTAAACTCAACGTGAGTTGGAAATGTTTCAAGTGGGAAATGTGTGTAATGCAGTGACCTGGTCCGTGTACCCTGGCATCATGGTACCCTGAGACTGGGCTGACCAGGACTGCAGCAATCGCTGCCCTTGCCCAGCACCCAGAGAAAGCATCCCATCACACACCGCTCTCCAGGGAGGGCCTACACTTTGAATTCTGAAGCATGACCACTACTGAGCTCTCTCCTTTCCACTGTCATAAAGCTGAGAATTCATCAGTGAGACCACTGTGCACTGGGAATAGTGTCTGTAAACTTCCTGTTCATCAAATGGACCACAATAAGGCAGGAAACAGAAACACAGCAGAGGAGCTGTGATTCCAGACAAGGACTTCAGAGGCATCCAGAGGCCTGCAGAGGGGATGGATGCCTATAGTGAAAGCTCAGGAAATGATGGTCTCTGGGTTCTCAGCGGCCCATGGGAGAAGAGAGAAATATGAGATCTTGAGATTTTATTGCAGAGGGCATCTGTATCTAGGAAAGAATACAAAGGGTCCATTTGTGTTTCTCCTCCTTTTTGGAAATTTCCTGGGCTGCTGTGAGGGATGGTGGGCATCAAGAGAGATGAGCTAGAGGTGATTTGAGCCAGGGCCATCTGGGAGCATTGCCAGTGTGCGAGGAGGTGAGATGAGTGTGCAGAACTTGGGAACTCCTGGGATGTGTGGCGTGGTGCAGGGTGGGAAGGTGAGGGGTCCTTCCCTTTTGAGTCTGTGCTACTGGAGGACCACAGAGATGTTCATGGTGGAAGAACTGGAAGAGGAGGACTTCTGCAGGCAGAATATGGGGCGAGCTGCCTAGGATGGATCTGTGATCACCAAGAGAGGCTTGGGAAGACCCAGGAGAGCTGAGGACATGGGGCACAGAGAGTTGCAGGAGACCTGTGGCCAACCCCACATTTTGGCTGCATGAAGTTGTCCTTCAACTGTGCCATCAGTCAATGGGAGTTAGCGCAGGCCCCCGAAATCACACTGCATAATGTCTCAGAGGGAAGAGGTGAGATCAGAAGGCAGCTCCAAAAGTAAGGTTAGAGGATGGGAACTGTGTTCTTCTGGGGAGAAGGCAGCACTGGATGCTGAACCCTGTCATGCAGCTAGCACTCTGCTCAGTGATGCTGGTTAAACCGAAAGGCATGCTCCCCATTGAGACCTCAGAGGCCAGCAATTACCCAAGGGGTCGCAACCCCCTGCACTTCTGGCTGACAGGCTGTAGACACTGGGTTCCCAGCACCTCCTGAGCTTTGCTTGTTTATGGAACCTAAGCCATAGGATTTAAGAAAACACTGCAGTTACAAGCACAGCTTATAAATAAAGATACCTGATGTATTTGGGCCCCGCCTCCAAATAGTTTCTCTTCCGAAGCAACACAGACCAACTTTCCTTCCTGTGACATTCGATGTTTCAGCCATTTGTTCCTTCTCTTTGTTTTTGCCATTGTGGCTGTGCTTCTGTGTTGAACATTCCAGTATTCTACGTTCCAAAGGTACCCCAGCTACCAGATCACATGCTCTCAGCTGGCCACAGGCTTCTGGGTTCTTCTGGTGACACGCAGCCCCTGGAGTAGCACATGGCATTGCAGGGATAGCCTGGCTGTGTCATCACCTGCAGGGACACCTGTCCCACCCAGCTGGGTGCTTCTGAGCATGGCCCATGGTCAGTTGGCTTTGGCACAGCTGAGTGGTCCAGGCCAGGCTGCTGGTCAGGTGAGGTGCTAGCTGCCTGGGAATCAGCATTTTAGTTAGGACACATAGTGGGTGGCAGGTGCTCTGAGGAGCAAGGCTGTAAGTCATGTTCAGTGAAAGACAAAGAGAAGAAAGCCGGTGGGTGTTCTGGGTCCTGACAGGCAAGCGTCAACCTTGAGCAGTTCAGTCTGTGATGGATGTGGAAGTGAAGTCCACCATCCAGGAAACCACACAGCAGGTATTAGGCCCGCACGCTGGGAGCCAGGAGCAGGATATCTGGACAATATCAATTTATAATCACAGAAATTGTTCTGCAAAACTGAAGCAGAGACTCGCTGAGCAGATACCTCCCACTGTTCTTTCTGTCTGAACAGAAAGAGTGGCCTCAGCTGTGGCTGGGCCGGGAGGGCCAGGCAGGCTGCAGCTGAGCGGCTATCGGGGCAACTGTGGGCTGGACTGCGGGGACTTTGGGGACCTGAGATGTGTTCCAAGACTGCCTTTTGATTTATTTATGTTACACCTTGCGCCTTCATAAGGAAGTGCAAACCACAGATGAATTAAAGGTGAGTGCACAGGAGAGGAAGAAGGCATGGGGTGCAGCACGAAATGAGCAAGGATGGGGTCTGACGTGCTGCCACTGGGACAAGTGCTCAGCTCCAAATGTTTGAAGCAACCAATGAGAGAGAGAAACCTAATTGCTCTCCTGGTTCCCAGGGTGTGCGGGAGGAAACACAACTCGCCTGACTGTAGTTACAGAGTTCTTGATGCAGCATCGCCCCAGCTTGCTGAGGAAGGGACGCCATGCTGGGTGCCATTATAAGCAGCCTTTGTAATGAAACCCTTTTAGTTGATGACTTGGTGGCTGTTTCTCCTCATTGGCTGCCAGCATTTGAACAAAACAAAGCAAAACAACTGAAACAAAATTGGCCAAAGGAAATGGTCCACTTTTCCTACCTAGTCTTGGCTTCACCGAGGCAAATCAAATATTGACCTGGTTGTTACTAAATGATACCCTGGCATACTTTATCTCCTAAGTCTGTTTTTTCCTTATAAAATACCCTGGGGCCCTGGGGGTTTTACAGGGATGGACCATACCTGCAACATGTGAGCACAGCACCTGTCCTATAACACGCATACTGGGCATGCATGACCTTGGCTGCGTTTGTGGTCCCCTGGTTCCTTTTGGCCATGGCAGCCACAGTGAAAACCCCAGCAGGACCTGGCTGAATTGCAAGATGGGATTTAGCCTTGGCTGCTGCTGGGGGCCTGGGGCCTCAGTAAAAGATGCAGGAGCAGGGTGCAGGGGATCCATGGGCAGCAGTGTTGGGGGGTGACTCGTGGGCCGCAGAGGCTTAAGCTTCAATTTTCTCTTCACAGCAATAACGCTGTACAGCCACCCATACGGAGGAGCCTTGCTGAATGAGGACCAGATGTGAGTGGAAAGACTGACACTGTGGCTGCCGCTGGGGTGGGGACCGGGCTGGAGGTCTTTGGGTCACTCAGAGCGGGTTTGCTGCCTCATCTGCTTTTCTCAGGGGAGGTCTATGAGGTCAGTGACACCTGGCTTGGACATTTCCTTGAGGTGGAAAGAATGCGATTAATAGAAGGAGATGTGTCCATGAGCTCCGAATGGATGGAGACACTGAGCAGCTATGATTCTAAGTAGAGATTATCCTGAGGCAGAGTGTTCCCTGAAGGACTTGGGCCTGGGCAGCTTCTGGGCTGTTTGTGTGTGTGCCTGTGGTGCTGGGGGTGGCGCCCACAGCCTGGTGCATGCTGGGCACATGCTGTCCTGCAGACGTGCACCCCAGGCACCTTCCAGGACAGTTTATCCATTGACACAGACTCGGGGTATGCACAGGGAGATAGGGTGGTGCCCCTGATGTTGACTGTGGGACACTTTCCTCGCTGTCCCTGTGGAGGGCAGTGTCACTTTCCACTGTTTCATGGTAAGGTACAGCAGCACCCTGCCCAGCTTCTACCATTCCCCATCTGCTTTCTGGATCATACTGTCAGTAGACCATTAAGCAATGCACTGATAATGAAAGTGTTATTTATATCCTTCTTACCCAGGTAGGAACATAATATTAGTAATGAACACAAAGCCTTGGTAGGGTCTTACCAAGTTGCCCAGGCTGGGCTCAATCTTGCTATCTTCCTGCCTCAGCCTCCCAGAAAGTTAGGATTACAGGCATGCACCACCATGTCTGGCTGCAGCATGCTTCATGGGCATTCTGTCTTCCAGTCATTACTGTAGCAGGAAAGAAGGGTCCCTGCCCTTCATGCTCTGCTTTCTGGGTCTCTGCCTCTAATTGTCTCTGACAGCCGCCTGGGTCTCAGCAGCAGCCAGCTGACAAATATAATAAGACCAGAAGCCTTGGAAAAGAAGATGCAGCTTGGAGCATGGTTTATGGGGAATGGTTTTGTTCTATCAGATGCCAACAAGACCATTTGTATCCAATGTCCCTAAAGACAGGGTGGACAAGAGACCAGGTGGCACTTGCCAGGTTGGAAAGGTGTTACTAATGCTGCAGTTAAAAGCCCTGGCAGGAGAACAGGGGTGTATGTGACTACAGCCTGGCTGTGGTCAGAGTCACCGTGGCTGGCACAGGGCCAGAGCAGTTGGATCTGTCACCAGTGCCCTCCCTGGCAGGGGTTGCCGTGACCAGTTCTCCTTGTCCTGGGCAGAGTCCGTGGTTTGTCGCTGCTCCTGTTGCAGAAATGCTGTCCTCTTAGATAGGCATTGAGCTGCACCTCCAGGGTGGACTCAGATAGGGAGATGTAGCCATGCCCGGCTCTGTGCTGCTCCGTAATGTTGGCCCCAAACTCTGAACAAAGGTCCAGGTCTCCCGAGATTTCCAGGGCTCCGGGTCAGCATCCCTGGCTGTCACAGTGGAGAGGGTGCTGGGTTCTTTTGTTCCACCTGATGACATACTGTTCTTCTCCCGCAGCCTGGAGAGCATCCGGCAGTGCGGCGTGGCCCTGTGCATTGTGCTGGGATTCTCCATCCTGTCTGCATCTGTTGGGAGCCATGTGGTGAGGGACAGGGTGACCGGAGCCAAGAGGTTGCAGCATATAAGTGGTCTTGGCTACAGGACGTACTGGGTCACTCACTTCTTGTATGACATGGTAGGACACCTGTGTGGGGGCAGGGCAGGGGCTGCGGGATTTGGACCACCCAGGGGCATCCATGGAGAAGGGCTCCTAGTATCAGGGACAGTGTTCAGGCCAAGCCACCTTCAGTGATGCCCAGCAGACTGTCAGGGTGACTTTAGTCGGAAAGGACCTCTGGCTGCAAATCTGGGAAATCCGAGCTCTGCCTAGGATGCAAAGTTTGTCACTGGGAAGCCCCGTAAATCAGCTCCATCCATGTGGTCCTTTGAAAGAGGAGGAAGGTGAGATGACAAAAAGAATTAAGCAGGATCTGTCCTTTGCCCCCCTGACACCAGCCCCACTGGGAGGCAGCTCTGTTCCCTGTGTGAGACGGCTGCCAGCTTTTCGCCTGGGACCCTCTGTGCCACCTCCGCAGGGTCAGAGAGGACAATGACAGAGCCCTCCTTGGGTTTCCCTAGAGCTCCAGACACTTAGGTTGCATCAAAAGTGCATCTACCTCAACCGACAGAGTGCTCTGTGCTCTTCCCTGGTAAACACTCTGTGTGTTTCCAAGCAGTGCTGAGCTGTTGTGGGGTCCTGGTACATGCACCTCCCATCTTCAGCAGTAGGGTTTCCTGAGGATCCGGGACAGGCCTGGTCCACGAAGACAGCAGGCCAGGCTTCCCGCTGACTCCTCCTGGCCCAGTTCTGCACCAGTTGCCTGGCATCCTGTATGGAACCTGGCATTTAACCTGTTGCTCTCCTGTAACGTCTACAGTTTTGCACTGGCTTAGGATTTAGCTGCTTTACTTGCTTTCCATCATGTGGACTAGACTTTTTAAAAAGTAGATGTTTTGCGCAGATCACACCTAAGTGACCCCAATATTTCAGGAGTTTGGCTGCCCATTTTGAACTGAATCCAAACTTATCTTGTGACAGCTGCCAACAGGAGCGATTCCCAGTGTGTCCCCTTCTTGGGTCTTTACTCAGGACTGAGTGGCCCCCAGCACCACCTCAGTCACCATCCAAGAGGTCCATGAATCTTGGAAGAGACTGAAATGTGCTGGTCCCAGCCCTCACCCTACCATAGATGCTCAGAAGTGGGAGAGAGAAATCAAGGACTCCAGTGCCAGGCTCAGCCTCTGGTCAGCTTGTTCCCAGAGCCACACATGGCCTCAGGCTACTTTGCTCCAGACACCTACCTTTTATTGATATCTTAGTTAGTTTTCCCTCATTGCTGGGACAAAATACCTGAGGTCCAAAATGAAGGAAGGAAAGGTTTGTTTAGCTTGTGGTTTGTGGAGGTTTCAGTCCATGCTCAGGGTACAGAGGCAACAGTTCAAGGAAGCAGAAGACATCAAAAAAGAGCAAAAGGAGAGGAGCCAGAGAGCGAGCCTCTTCCCCTCCTTATATCATGTGCAGGCTCCCTGCCCCAGGGGAGGGAGGCACTCATACTCTTAATTCCAGCACTGGACCATGGATCAGCCACAGACACTAGAAATCTGCCCCCATGCTGCATGAGGCTTTGGGGACATCCAGACACAAACCATAACAGACGATGTCTGGTGGTGGGTCCTGGGCTGCTGGCCTGTGGGGAGCAGCTGCAGGAGAGGGTGGGGGCAGGTAGGGAAGGAAGAGGCTGGTCCTGATTTTCTCCTCCTCACTATCTCCTCTCTTCTCCCTCCTCCCCTTCCCTCTCCTCCTCTCCCCCTTTCCTCTTCTTTTTCTTTCTCATTCTAAGCTACATTTTTAACCTTTCCTCCCTTCTTTGTGGGGAAGCTGGTTAGACAGGGTCTCTCTATGTAGTCTAGGCTGGCCTTGAGCTCATTATATAGCCCCAGCTGGCCTCAAATTTTCCTGCCTCAACTTCCTGAGTGGTAGGATTAACAGCCATGCATCAGCATGCCCAGCTCTCCAGTCCTTTTTTTGAGTTTTATTTTGAGACAGGATCTGGAAAAGTCATGAAGTTGTGTAAGTTGAACTCAAGTTTGCAGTCATCCTGCCTCAGCCTCCTAGAGTGTTGGGATCATAGCCAAGGACCCCTGTTCCTGGCTCTCATTTCTCCTTCTCCTCCTCCTCCTCCTCCTCCTCCTCCTCCTCCTCCTCCTCCTCCTCCTCCTCCTCCTTCTTCTTCTTTCTTCTTCTTCTTCTTCTTCTTCTTCTTCTTCTTCTTCTTCTTCTTCTTCTTCTTCTTCTTCTTCTTCTTCTTCTTTCTTCTTCTTTCTTCTTCTTCTTCTTCTTCTTTTCTTCTTCAATCATAGGGTGCCAGGCTCCACTTTAATTGACCTCATTTGAACATAATCACTCTTGGAAAGCTTTGTTTACAAACAGAGCATCACCCTGAAGTTCGGGTGCTCAGCACATGAGTTCTGGGGACCCAGTTCACCCAGGACAGAGTCTAGCAGTGAGCTGCTCACGGATCAGTGAGAACTTGGCTGAGTTCCTCGGCACAGGGTGTTAGGGTGAGTCTCCAAGGCCACTATGCTGCCCTCCTCTGAGGCTGCTCTCTGCCTCTTGGTTTTGTTTCCCCAGCTCTTCTACTTGGTTTCCGTCTGCCTGTGTGTCACCATCATCATCGCCTTCCAGCTCACAGCCTTCACCTTCCGAGAGAACCTGGCGGCCACAGCACTCCTGCTGGTACTGTTCGGGTGCGTGCACCTCGAGGGGCCCCTGCAGGAGGGTGGTCTGTGAAAGAGAAAACCCTCGGGATGCTGTGAACCTGATGTTGTGCTGTGATGCTCTCCCTTGTCAGACTGTTAGGTGTCTCCTGCCATGGAGACGGGAGGAACAAGCCCCAGTGAGTTGATGTGTGGCCCTGGGGCAGGAAGGGAGGCAGCAGGTATCAAGCATCACTGCCAGCCCAGCCCTGGCCCTGTCACAGTGAGGCCCCATGGCTGCTGGGCAGGCCTGCATAGGGAAGTGGGTCCTGGTCACTGCACCATAGCTGTGGGCTCTCACACACAGTGCGCTTAGCTCTGGCACTGTGTCTGGATAGAGCCTCGTGTGTGCCGCACCATCGGAGGATTAGGGGTTTGATCTGACTTTGTCACATTCTTCTCTCCAGGGAAAAATGGCCAATGCAGGGAGTCCTGGGGTCAGTTTCTCATCTGTGTCTCACTGTGGTCCTGGCTAGCAGTCCCAGTGCTGTGCCTACTGGGCAGAGTGACTGGGTGTGTCTGACATGGGAGGCTTCAGGTTTCCAGAGGCTGATTTGTCAGAGCACGGAGCTAGTATACTGACTTAACAGGACTTAAGCCTCGTTTTGAAATAAAACCTCCAGTCATCAACCAAAAATGACAGCTAATATGACATTTATATATGACATTTTGTGTTCTATCAGTGACCTGGGGTTATTCAAAGCATCTAACTAGGTTACAGGGGTTTAATTAATGTACATATTATACTGAGATGGATGGATGAGCAGGGACAATGGATTCACTGGATTTAAGAGTTTGTTACTTTGCCATTGCAACACAGCCACAGGCTTAGCTGGAAGCGTGATCATCACCTTTAGCAGAGGGAGCCTTTCCTTGGGTGGCCATGCAGAGCTGGCTTCATCTCACTGTGTCCACAGGGCCTGCAAGTCCCAAGAGCCAGGCAGGGCAGTGAGCTGAGACCCACAGAAGCACTGAGCAGGGCCCTTTAATGAGCTGGAACCGAAGGGAACATGGAAGGGATACATGGGTGGACGCTCAGAGAAGATAACACAAATGCCCAGTAGTGTGTCCTTGTCAGGGAAAACTTGGCATTTAAAGGGTAAAAGGGAGGGCAGACAGGGTTTGCATCAAAGAAGGAAACTAACACGTAGCAGTGTCTGGAAGGAAAGTCAGTCCTGCTCGTCTAAAATGTCCAAGCCTTTGAGATGAGCCTGATGTGTGTTTAGTGCTGACCTGTTGTGAAGATGAAGTCACCGTGTTTTATTTGGTGTCTTGGGAAATTCACACATTGCAGGAAAAGGGGTGCAGGGATGCAGAATATTTGTGAACAGTGTGCCCATCGCCACCGGATTCTGAAACCGTTAAAACTCTACACCATATTTTAGTAACAGCGTGGTGAGCATTAAGAGCCATGGTTGGCTTCACCGGACAATAAATTATGCTCTGTAAGTCAACTTAATATTTCTTTCCTCAAAACTAGAAAAAGACACAGGGACTGGCTTCACTAATATGTTCATTTCTACCAAGTATTTGAAAGGTAACTCATGCAAATATAGTTAAAAAAAAAAAAAAAGGTTGGGAGATAGAATTTGGGCTGTTCAGAAGCCACACTGAGACTGTCAATGATACAGTGACAGCAGCCTCCAGGGCCTCACTGAGGCCTGTGTCCTCCTCTGGGCTGTTTTTCCTTAGCTGATGCTTTGATCTTCTAGTCAGGTATTTTACAGAGTGTGACCCAGGGTGGGAACATTAGGTAAAGTGTGACAAAGTGCTTGATTCAGAGCAGACCCCAGGAAGCAGAGACCAGCCTCAGGGAGGTGCTGGACAGAGTGGGGCCTTTAGCCTGCTGTCAGGAGTAGAACATCTGCGCTGGCCCCTGCTGGACCCTCGGATGCCCATTAAAGGAGGGCACAGTGCCCCGTGCTTTGTCCTCCCTGACCACATCAGACACTCTGTGAGGTGCTGCACTCAGAGCACCCCCAGGCCTGGCATCACCAGGTGGAGCAGAGAGAGCCACTGGGTCAGTATTTTACAAAGAACAAAGGCAGACCTCGTCTTCTCCGTGGAGGACTGAAGCAGCTACATTAGTGGACTATTAAAAATTCTGTGTGGTGGAAGAGAAAACCAGTTTGTTACGTGTCATTCCAGGACACAGTTTGAGTCCATAGTGTTAAGTTATAGAAAATTTTTTTTCCATCCCCAGCGAGTTGTATAGTGATTAAACCAGCCCTACCATTGGCTCACAGGGCGGAGCCTGGTGCCCAGGGCTATAGTCTCAGCAGTCAGGTAGGTTAAAGCAGGAGGATTCCAAGTTCAAACTTAACCTGGTGAATTTAGCCATGTAGGGAGAGCATATCTCAAGATAAGAACTAAGAAGAGTGGGGATCAGCTCAGGAGAAAGCCTGAAGTTCAGTCCTCAGGTCTGTAACCAATGAATCAGTTAATTTTAAAATTCAGTCAGTGGCCTCCACCACTGCTTGCCTGAGGTCTCATTTGCTTCTCAAGGAAGCCACGTGACACAGGACAGCCCCTGCTTTTTGCCTGCAAAGGGAAGGCAGAGTGGAGTGCTGTGTGTGTGAACCTGGTGGCCTGCAGGTCTTCTCTGTGCTTCATTTCCCACAGAGGCGTTGGCAGCTTAAAGCATCCAGCAGCTGTGATCTGGCACTCAAGTCAATACTTTGATCTAATGATTCTGCACAGATCCTGCTAGATAATAGTGACTTTCATGGTCTTGTCTCCATTGTGGGCTCTGAAATGCTTTTCCTCGTACCCCAGTGACCACAGCATGATGCTGACAGAAGCTTGTGAGGCCCCGTGATTTTATGTGCGGTGTCCCCTATGTTTTCCACAGCAGGAGAGCTGTGTCTGTTCACCCCGCCCTGCGTTCTACTCCTTGGATTTCATATGCAAAGGGAAGCACATGAAAATACTAACTATCCAGGGTCCCTGGTGCCTCTGACAATGTTTGAAGCCTCCTAATTTCCACAGCTAGTTAACATATTCAAACAACCTCAGGCATTTAGGAGACACTGAAGTGTTGCAGGTTAAGCAATTCATCAGTGGAAGAAAACAGTGACGCCTCTACCTGGAGAGTGCAGAGAGTTCTATAAGCATGCCCGCTAGATGGCTCTGACTGGAGCAGCTGTGATTTTTATGTTTGTATTTTATTTAAAAAGCTGTGAATGCATGTCTGTAACACATAATAAACACATCATGGTAAACTGAGGCATATAGAGCACACATGTTGACCCTTTATTTCCCCTTCCCTTTTTTCTCCTTCCTATCTCTCCACATCCCTGATGGTCTTACTGTCTCCATAAAATTTCTCTCCCCGTTTCCTGCTACCTATCTTTTATTAAAATAGATGACTTCTAGTTACGCATGGCAGTTCATACCTGTAGTCCAGAAGGCTGAGGGAGGCTGAGGCAGGAGGATTACAGGTTTGAGCCCAGCCAGTGCTCAAATTAGAGAGCAACTTAGAGAGACTTTTACCTCAAAACAGAAGCTAAAAAGGGCTGGGGATGAGGTCAGAACGTAGGCTCTGGGTTCAGCTCTGGAAGCACACATGAACACATGACTTCTCCACTGGTTTTGGGAAAAACCATTTCAAGTTGCAGCTTCTCTTAGTGGCATGCATGGAAGTGACCCCGTTTTACTATGGCAGGAGGAACTGGCCAGAATAAAGCCTGGCTCTAGGCTGTGAAGAGAGGAAAGCAGGAGGTTTCCTCCTGGAGAGCTTGAGTGGTTTGCTAGGTCCCAGCAAACCTCTGAGTACCCAGCCGTGTTCTTCATGCTTGGCATGGGGGCCGCAGGGAGGGCCCCCATTCTCAGCTGCCCTTGGAGAGAGCCATGCAAGCTCCTCTGAGGTGCTGGTTTGCTTTATCAGGCAGACATGTGGATTGCAGTGCAGGTTCTGCGGTATCCAAGCACATGAGGGCAATTAGGGACACAGCAGCAGTGACCACCCAGGACCTGACATGCAGCAAACTGAAAACACAGCTCTGCATTTTGTTTTTTATGCTTATTTTAAGGTAGCGCTCTGCAGCTTTCCATGCTGCTTTCCTTCTGCTCTCACTGTAATATGCAGGGATGGTACTTGGGCTGTTGAGAGGCCCTGCGGAGTGGTGCCCCTTAGGAGGAGAGGAGGTGTGAGGGGCAGGGGTTTGGCCCGGGAGGTAGCCAGGGGGCCCCGCTTCTGATGGCGTCACAGCATCCACAGGAGCCCCAAGTAGCACTGCATCCAGGGAAGCCCCAGGAGGCAAAAACAGGAATCACCAGGCCAATAGAACTGCGTCTAAACTCAGTCACCATGACTGTTATAGCAAAGACTCCACTCCGCCTTCTCCATGCTTTTCAGATACGCAACGCTCCCGTGGATGTATCTGCTGTCCGGAGTCTTCCCCAGTGCCGACATGGCCTTCATCTCTTACATCTCCCTGAACTTCATCTTCGGCCTCTGCACCCTGCTGATGACCACCATGCCCCGGCTGCTGGCCATCATCTCCAAAGCCCAGGTTGGTTGCCCACAGCATCCCCCACCCTGCTCCAACGGCATGAGGGACAGGGACTGGGGGCCTTAGCAGTGTTGCTGTTTTTGCAACTGAAAATCAGTGGCAATGTGCCAGTATCCACCATCTTTAAACTCCAGAAAGAGAAAGCGATTCTGCCTGACAAACATGGAGCATCACAGAGGCCATGCTCCTGTGCATTGACAGTTGACAGAATGGCACACGGTTGCTGTTGAGCCAGTGCCATGTCACCATGGCATTCACAGTCACATCCCTGGCATCTTCTCCAGTGACAGCTTGACAGAGGACTGGCCGGGGATAGAATGCAGTACAAAGTGTCCCTTCAAAGTGCTGCATCTTGTTGGGCACTGGAAGGCAAGGATGGCTCACGGTCAGTGACCTGACACTCAACCTGGCAATCCTGTGCTCTTCCTGGGTCCCCAGAGTTAATTTTATTTTACTGCTTCCCACGTGTTGGAGCAAAGTACTGTCCTGAGCATAGGGTGCATGGCCGGGGAGCATTTTCCCTGTGAGCCAATGCTGCTGTCCACTTGACTGTCCCCACCAGCAGGTCACTTAGGAGCTGCCCCAGCAAGTGTGGAGGTCAGGCTGAGTGCTCCCTGCAGACCCCAGGCCCCCTTAAGCTGTCCCCTACTGGTGCAGCCTCCCTCTTGACCCCTGCTTGCAGTCAGCCCTGGACACCTACTAGGCAGTTGTGTGAGGAGACTTCAGAGTCTGCATGCCCCTTGGCCCTTCTTGTTCCCTGCTGTCTCTCCTCCCCCTCTGACCTGACTGCTCTCAGGACTCCCTGCAGTTCACTTGTGTTTAGATTCCCCACAGTACCCAGGTATTTGCAAGATGGAGGATCAAGAACATCCCTGGGAGAGGGGCAGGATCCCCAGGTGTTTGGCTCTGAGCACACATGGGGGAAGACCAGTGTTCGGCTGAGAATGTGGCAGAAAACGCCTCCCTCAACCCCAGCAGTGTACTTAGGTGCCCAGGTAACAGTTCCTGTTGCAGTTCCGGTTGCTTCTGTCTCCGAGAAACAGCTGGTCACTGTGATGCAAATTGTAAGAACCAAGAAAGATCAGCTCAGCGGACCAGCATATGGGTCGGTTTTCTCCCAAGGCCCCATTTCTTGCTGGACAGATTTTGTGCTGTAACCCAAAGGCGAGGAGCAAGCCCCTTCCTACTGGACTGTTGCGCACACATGGGCACACATCTGTCACTGACCTTGTTTCCTCACTCAGTACTCGGCCTCACCTTTGAGAAACACGTATATTTACTAAAACACTGAAACATGGTTAAGGGCAGCAAAGCTGGTGACACCCAGCGATTTGCCAAAAACATTTAGTGGACAGCTGCTGACCCTTGTAATCATTTCAGTCTCATAAAATAAGAGAGTCTTAGAGGTTATGGTAGGTTTTGAATTTTTATTTTTATTTATTTATTTTTTTTTGCTTTATTTTTTTTTTCTTCATTTTCATTTTTATCGGTACCGGGGATCGAACTCATGATTGCCTTCTTGCAAGGTAGGTGCTTATGCCGCTGAGCTAAATCTCCAGCCCCCGGTTTTGAATTTTTAGATGCATCCAATCTAAAATTTGAGTTCAACTCTACTTTTAAATGTATCTTACATTTTTATTTTTTCTAGAATTCTCTTTGTTCTGCCCTGCAACTCATAGTTGGTTCTGTGACACCATGCAGTTCCATGCATAGGGGCAAGGACTGTATATATTTACTGTCTGTTGTGTGCTAAGGAAGACTCAATCAGGCATGCACGCTGCGGAGAAGCTCACAGTCCCAGTGCCCTGTGTGACCTGCTTACAGCTCAGTCACATCACCTAGGAGCACTGATGCTGCCCATGTGTCTTAGTTTGCTCAGGATGGTGAAACAAAATAAACCACAGAAGCCTGCTGAGGTGGGGCATAAGAAAAGATACTTATTTCTCACAGCTTGGGAGATGGAGGAGTCCCAGACCATGGCGGTGTTAGACACAAGTCTGCCTGAGTCTCTTAGGAACTTGCAGATGGCTACTCTGTCACTGTGTCCTCACACAGTGAGGACGTAGAGAGCTGGGATTTCTTCTCTTAAGTGCAGGAATTTCATGATGGGCTCTACCAGCACGACTTCATCTACCCTAACAACCTCCCAGACTGCCCACCTCCCAGTGCCATCACCTCAGGGCAGTGGCTTTCAAATAAGAATCCGAGGAGAACACAAATGTTCTGTCCTGTCTGTCATTTGGGCTCTGGGCTCCCAAGACTTGTGTCTTTCTCACCTCACAGTTGATTCACTCTGTCACTCTGTCCCAACAGCCACCAGAGTTTTAGCCTGCTGCTCTGAGCCCTGAGGCCCAGAGTCTCACCTGCAAAAGCCATCTCAGTCAGCCAGGTGTGACACTCACAGGCACATCCTGAGGCTGATTTGTCCCCAGCTGTGGGCCTGTGTGCTTCCAAAAGACAAAGATGGGGCATCCATAGCACAGACACTGCAATTCCAGAAGGACAGAAAGGAAGAAAGGAGCGATGGGTCCCAGGAAGTAAAACCTAGTGAGGCCAATGCCATTAGCTTCTCAGTCTCAGGAGTAACACTCTCCAGCTGGACGGCTGTCTGAGGGGGTCACTGGGTATCTGGGCAGGGAAGACCTGAGGTGCGGCTCCAACAAGGAAGAAGAATGACCATCTGTATTTGTTGTTGACAGGAGAATAGATTTAATTTAATTTTTTTCTTTCTTCTCTGTGCAGAATTTGCAGAACATCTATGACACCCTGAAGTGGGTCTTCACGATTTTCCCCCAGTTCTGCCTTGGCCAAGGGCTGATAGAACTGTGCTATAATCAAATCAAGTATGACCTGACCCACAGCTTTGGCATTGATTCCTATGTGAGCCCCTTTGAGATGCAGTTCCTGGGCTGGATCTTCGTGGGACTGGCTTCACAGGGCACGATCCTCCTCCTGCTGAGGGTGCTGCTGCATGGGGACCTTCTGCGTTGGTCGGGGTATGTCCTGAAGGGCTCATCTTTGAACAACTTAGGGCGGGACAAGTCGACCCTGGAGGTTGGTGTTGTCATGGTTCTGATAACATTTTCTGTTTCTTCTTTGTTTGTTTGTTAGATTTTTGTTTCCCTGGGCTTTATGACTTCACAGTGATTATGAGACCCTCCCAATTTGTCATTTAAATCCAGACCCCACCAGGTCACTAGTCCCTGCCTACCAGATTTTCACAAGCCCTTCCCTCCAGCTGGCTGCTTGTGTTCCTAAAGCCCTCTCTGCTCCTCCCTCCTCCCCACAGAGGACACTGCCCTCTGGTCACCTCCCTGCCCTCACTCCCAGCACTGTTCCCATTGCTACCCTGCCTTCTGGGCAGCTCTGATCCTTCTTAGAGTGTCCAGGCTCTTTTTTTCTGGAGCGGTACACACTTGTCATGTTTATGTGGCAATCATGCCCACAGTCTATTCCTGTAGGAAAACTAGAAATTTGAAAACCAAGGAATTGCAAAAATCCTAAGCCAGAAATGTTGTGATAATAAAAGACATATTGCTCTGAGACCCCCTCCTCCCTTGGAGACCCCACATCCCATGGTTCCTGTCACTTTCGGAAGCAGCTCTGGAGTCCTCTTTCCTGAGTGTCCTTGTGACCGGTGATAAACAGTGGTGACCGCTGCTGCTGAGCGCCATCCAGCAGAAAGGCAGCTCCTAGAATCATGACACTGTGTCCTCATGCCCCTCCTTCACTGGATCTGGCGCCATGTGACTCCTGGCTCCTCCCCAAAGTCAAAATGACAGTGGAAGGGAAATGGCTTGAGTTGACGGAGGACATCAAGGCAGCCAGGGTCCCTGGGGAAGGAGCCTCCAGAGCTGCTGTGACCAGCGGCAAGGAGTATAGGATGAGAGGGTTTAAAACATGGGGGCAAGATTAAACCAGAGGGGGTTCCTAGGAAGTGTTTTTACTATAACACACTAAAAATTGTAAAGATCATACCTTGAAGTTAATTTGGGGGAGAAAGGGAAAGCTGTGCCCTCTGTGTGGAGGTAGAGAGGCCCTGCCTTCTTTGACCCCGGCTGGGACTCCATGGCCAGCACCTGCTGCTAGCCTGAGTGCAGAGCTCACTTCCCTGCTATCTACCCCACACCTGCTCTGGCTCCATCCTACAGGCTGTCACTGGTGCTCCGTTGTCTGCTGAGAACCTGGGTCTCTGTCAGCACCAGCCCTGCTGAATGCCAGCAGGGTGGGTGGGCTGGGGGAATCTCACTGGCTGTCTCACCAGGACCTGGACTTTGCTCACTGCATCCCACATGCTGACTGAGTCAGAGCTGTGTGGTCCAGGTATTCGGCATGTGGAGTACCTGGAAAGCTCTGCAGTGTCCAGTGCTGGGTGACTCTATCCTCCTTCCTGCAGGCTGGAGGTGCACACGGATGAGCATGGTGAGATGAATGAGGTATTGAACTGTGGGAGAATCCTCAGCGTCAGGCGCTGGTCTTCCACCTACCAGAAGGGCTTGAGGAGATGTAGACTGTTGCGCACCTGGGCCCCCACTGGTGTCTGAGACCGGGAGCTCTGGACAAGCCCAAGAGGAGAGGATCATGGGAGCTTTGATGCAAGCAGCTATGGGCAGATTTTGGCAGCAGGTATAGCCATGACATGATCCATTAGACAGGGAAAAAACCTTGGAGAAAAGCCCTGTACAGGGGTCTGGGTCTTCACCCAGGAAAGGGCAATCTAATATTCAGGCAGCAAAGTGTGAAATTTGATGGGTTTTTGCAAATCAAACCCTCTCGTGAAAACCACTCTCAGATCCATAGATAAAATACTTTCTGCACCTTCCACACCTCTGCCACTCCCTGCCAGTCCAGTGATCGCCCTGAGGAGTGGCTGTTCCTGTTTCACCTCTATTGTGTGCTTTCAAACCCTGTGTAAGTGGTGCCGTACACTGCCCGCTGCCAGTCCTTGCATTTTTCTCATCATCCCTGTGTGTGTGTAGGGTCAGCGATGCTTCTGTCACACCAGGCATGGTGCGTGCCTGTCATCTTGGCACTTTGGGATGCTGAGGTAGAGGGTACCAGTGCATACCCAGTCTGGGTAGTGCAGGAATTTAGAGAGACACTCAGTGCAAGAGAGATGAAAACCAAAAACAGGTCAGGGCTGCAGATCAGGGTGTAGTTCTGTGTCGTGGCTTTGGGCTCCATCCACAACAGCAACAGAAAATCAGGCAGAGAAAAATAAGGAACCATTTGACTACTATGCCTGGGGGTTGGCAGTGGTTATTTTTATTTTTTAAATATTTTGTTTTACAATAATTTAAGAATTGCAAGTATTTGCAAAATTAAGTTCTTACTATCTTCTACCTGTTGCTCTCCATAGTACTGTCACTACAGTACTACTGTGTAAAGGCCTGGACACTCCCGTTAGCCTAATACTTACCCCGTGGTCTGCACCTGTTTGCTCCTTAAAGTGTTCCCGTATTACAGATTACAGGGGAGGTGGAAATGTACTTGACAGTTAAAATGCTGCAGATGGAAAACCACCATGGAATGTGCAGTCCAGATTTAGAGGAAACCAGTTAGACCTCAAAATAAAATTTGCATTCTTCTGGCAAACACTTACTGAAGATTTGTAAGGCGTTGTATAAAGTGATGGTTATGTAGTCTTCTGTGAAATTCAACTTGTGCTATAAACTTATACCATTTGCTTACTTTTATATATAATCTGCTGTGTTAAGGAGCTGTTTATTAACAGCACCTGTAAAGTTGGTATCTTCCAATAATGTGATAATTGCTGCATTTATTTGCATTTAGCATAAGGTTGGCTGACTCTATTATTCGTGAAGCTGTGGCATGATCTGGAGTTTCTGTCCATCTGTTTCAGGATCTCTCAGGAATGTGCATTGCCTGCAGGTTGGGAGTGAGGTTAATTTTTGCTGGCTCATGGTCATCAGGGCATCTGGGCAGAGGTATCCAGCATGAAGCTGCTGCCCATGAGAGCTGAGGTCCTGTCTTGTGTTTTCACAGCTGCCTCACCTTTCTGTCCCTCCTGAGCTTTTCCAGTCATGTCCCAGGTATGAACAAACTCTGCCTCTGCCTCCCCAGGGCTCACTCTGCGGCCCGAGGCACAGGCGAGTGCTCTGCTGACTCAGATGTTGAGGAAGAGCGGAGGCGAGTGCGGGAAGGCAGGACCGTTAGGGACATCCTGGTGCTGCAAGGCCTGAGCAAGAGTTACAGAAGCATTTTCCGCAAGATCCCTGCTGTGCAGGACCTCAGCGTGGGCATTCCAAGAGGAGAGGTAACAAGGGTTTCCTTTTGGCTCTTTCCTCCTGTGAATCTGTGTCACTCTGAGTGCTGGTCTGCTTGTGGTGTGCTCAGAGTGTCTGGGACCACAGCCTACACAGTTTAGCAGTTCTCACAGTCACAGAAGAGGGCCTGCGGAGAGGGTCTACTGACTGCTTCCAGCATACTGCTTCCAGCAACCTTTGCTGATGAGTTGTGTATCTGTTTTGTTGCTTGATGTTTAAAATTTCCTGGAACTGAGGGGTTTTCAGAATGGTTTTGACCAGGGGATGACTTTTTACTGGGTACAACCACTGGACAATTCCTGTTAGTTAAGGAAACCACCAATGTGGGCTTCAGTGTTCCAGGAGTGTCCAGCTGAGCCTGTGCAATGTGACACTGCTGAGGCAGGGAGTCACCTCACACACACCGAAGTCAACCCAGAGACCATCTTCCCATCAGTGTGGTGTTCATTGTCATAGAAACCTTTGATCAAAACTGGCAGAAGCCATATGAATTGTTCCCAATTTGTACTTATGCATAAAAGGAAATCAATTCTGGGAGTGATTACCTTTAATCAACTGTTAAAAATAAAAGAGTGTCTCGTGTGCTTATTATTCCAATCTCCCATGACGTCTGAAGTAGGGTTTCCTGTCATCCTTGCCTGGGAGCGGTGAGGACCTGCTTCGGCCAGGCATTTCAGAGGTTGGGGAGGCAAAGAGAACAGCCTGAGGCCACCCAGAAGCTCCTCCTGTTAGGGACCAGGACTCCTGGTAAAGCACAGCAGGAGCCTTAAAGATGCTTTTCCACGTTCTTACTCCTCCTTTCAGACTGGCTGTGCCTCTGAACTGTCCTACTGATTTTCTTACCTGGGTGTTGAAATCAGTTAAACCCCATTTTGCAACCACTGCTGCCTTGGCTTAAGCTAAGGATTAAGGGAAAATAATCTCCCCTCTTCCCTAAGAATGACTGGCAAAGGTGACTGAGCCAAGATGCTGTTGAAATTTGGGGTCTGTGTTAGCTTTCTCATTTCCAGAACAAAATGGCAGAGATAACAGACTTGCAGAGAGGACAGGTTCCCTTTGGATCACAGCTTTGGTGGGTTCAGCCCGTGAGCCTCTGTTCCCCTGCCCTGAGTCTATGTGGCACTGCACATCACTTGTGAAGTGCACCTGACAGAGGCCTATTTGCTTCATGGCTGGGTGCTAAAGACGGAGGAAGAGGCAGGGTGAGGTCACAGCCTCTCCTTCAAGGTCACAGTACTGTGACCTGAGTCCTCCCCGGGATCCCACTCCCCAACTGGGCCTGCGTTGAGAACCAGCCCTCCACCACATGGGCCTTCTGGGACATTCAAGATCCAAAGTACAGCAGGCTCTCTCTGGATGCTTTTATGACAGCGTGGTTTATCACCCAGATGGGAAGTGTTCCACCAGAGCCTGCAGAAAATGCCAAGATGACTGCCTGTGCCCCGTCCCTCCAGGAATAAGTAACTGGTTTGGAAACAAGGGACACAAACGCATGAGAGTGTGAGCATTTTTCTGAGGAAGGGCCTGAATAAAGGTGTGGGCTGTGGTGTCACCAAGGGCTTCCTGTCTGAGATGTGCAGGAGCAGGGAGGGAGGTGTGCAGGGATGACAGAACAACCATGCCAGAGGCAGGGCTGTGGCCCGGGGAGGCGCCTCGTGCCTCGGGTACCCCATCAGTCCTGTGGTCTAACAGCAGGAAAGGCAGAGGCCTGAGGCTGGCTCAGCCTGAGAGGACTCACCCTTCAGAGAGTGGGAGATTGGGAAGTTGGGAGACGTAGGCTCATTGAAGCAGATGGCAGTTCAGGGACTTGCTGGCCTCCAGAGTTGCATAATAGGGCTGTGAAATAGGCCGGTGTGACCTGGCAACAAAAGACAGCCAAGAAGTACTCGCTTTCTGAGATGCAAGAAGCCAGAAAGTCAGTGACTGTCAGGAGCACTGACCCTTTGGCATCAGGAAGCTGAGGTCTCGGACAGTCCAATGCAGTCTCAGGTCCCAAAGCAGGTCTCAGGAAAAGTTTTGTGTACCTGACAGCCCAAGATGGACATTGGACTTGGAAAGGGACGTGAAGGCCACTTTTCACATGGTGCACAGGGCGGGACTGGCCCAAGGGAAAAACTGACAGGTTGGTTTCTCACAGCCAGGACTCAACTAAGGTTCTGAGTTGGAGTGAATTTATAATCGGTATAATGGGAAGGCAGGTGCACAGCTGGGTGTGTGCAGTGTTCCAGCTGTAGACCTGTACGAGCTGTGCTGGAACTTATAGAATGAGTGTTTGCATTTTTTTTAGACATCCTGTTACCGTGAAGGCTGCATTGCTGTGAACCCCCCTCAGGTCTCCTCCTCACTCTGAACACACTCATCCCATCCTTCTTGCCACTGTCTGAAGCAGCTCTGGGAGTCCTCTTTTCTCAGTGTCTTTGAATGGCAGCCTCGATACCCTAAATTGATGTAAAATTTTTCAAGCAATCTTTGTCACACAAAAACATTAGCTGGCCTGCACGCACCTCATTCACTGGATCTGGCAATTTCTGGATCTTCCCCCCAGGTCAAAATGACCACGAGAGGGAAGTTTTCGAACCAGACACTGAGGTGGCCAGGACAGCACAACTAAGGATCCCCAGGATGCAGGCAATCCAGGGATGCTGCAGAAAGTGGGGAGGAGGATGGGATGAGTGTGTGGAGAGCAACAGGGAGTATTTCTCAAGCCGGGATTCATGGCAGTGTGTTTTTACTGTAATACATTTAAAATTTAACTCCAGCATATACGCAGAAAGTATAATTGGAGACTGGAAGATGAGATATTTTAAAAAATACTTTAAAACAGGAAAATGAGATCTGGAGGGCAGTAATTACTACAGTGATGTGACGCACAAAGACTATTATCTGTGCCTCATTTGAGAAGGTTGCCATTGCTTTTCATTCTCTTGACTTTCTCATACATAAATCTACTTGTCTATGAATTAATGGTGGAATTTTTGTTCTATGCAAGGGTCAGGATGATTCTGAAAGTGCTGTGAAGTGCCATAAAGTTCTGTGTATAGTAGTGTGCTTGCAAAAGTGCAAACTATCAGACCCCAGGGCACTAACTATCCCACCCCAGGGCGCTAACTCAGAGCTGACTTGAAGCCAGCTGTTACCGGGACTTTCCTACGTTTCCTGCACCCTGGCTGACACATGTTATTTCACTGCCTTTGTTTCCCCCCAGTGCTTTGGGCTCCTGGGGGTGAACGGAGCTGGGAAGAGCACGACCTTCAGGATGCTGACCGGTGATGTCCTCCCAAGTTCGGGCCACACTGTCATAAGGACACCCACGGGGTAAGATCCAGCTGGAATCTTTTTTTCTGTCTCATGAGATAATGATTCAGCTCAGGGAATCCTGCGTGGTAAAATCCGGAGCATCATCATCTTCCCCTCTAGATCTCCCCTCCAGTTGCTAATTCCAAGCAGAGAAAAGAGTTTCCCAGCATGAATGTGTGGGTTAAAGGTCCAGAGGTTATGTCACAGAGCAGCTGACTGGGGACTCCCTCCAGGGCTGCCCCAGCATGCGCTGGAGGCCCAGGCATGTAACTCAGGCAGCAGCACACAGCTGGGGCTGGGTCTTTCTGCTTCTCCTTTGGATGAAGCCTGCCACATGTCCACCACTGAGTGCAGGCCCAAAGGGCTGCGTGGTTCAGTGTTTGTGCCCAGGTATCCTCTTTCCCTGTAGTCATGGCTGCACTGGGCTGGGGGCAGCACACATATTCAGTCCACAGACAGCAGAGTCTGCAGGAACAGGAAGACATTCATTCCCTTTGCTCTGCACACACATGTGTGCTGCACACCAGGCAGATCTGTGCAGGCTCTGTGGGCAGCACACACATGCACACTCACACACGCGTACACACACAGTGTTACTCCTGTGCATCGCCCTTAAACCAGCTCTTTCAGTCATGTTTCCCACAACACATGATTCCCCCTGAACCTTATGAGACTCCCCCTTAGGACGAGGTTCTTCGCACTTCTTCCTGTGTGTGGCCCTCGGTTGGTGTCTTTCTGTCTCTGCTGCTCCCCTCCAGCTGCCCTGAGTGCTCTTACAGCAGAGCTCCCCAGCTCTGAACCTCTCAGTGGTGGATTTGCTGCTTAACTCTTGTGGCCAGTTTGCCCCATAGGAACCGGATCAGTCTCTGAGTTTCTTCCACTGTGACTTCGCTGCTGTCTTCCCATGGCTCCTCCTCCTCTGGCCACTCTCATACGGTCCTTCCCGAATGTCCCCACTGCCCACACTGTTTTCCACGTGGTGAACCTGGTGTGGACCTTTCCTCTGCCAGAACAAAACTTGCTGTACCTCGGTGCCCATGTCAGGCTCTGTGGAGCTGCGTGAGGAAAGCTCTGGGTCCTCAGGCCATTTTGACCTTGCAGAGCTACCAGTCTTATTGGATTTGAGAGTCTGTTTACCAAGAACAGGAGACTCATTCCTGAAGGATTGGAGAATATTGCTCTAGATTCGTGTTTTTTATGTATGAGCTCAAATACAGTAACTACAAAAAAAAAAAAAAAAAAAAAAAAAAAAGCATTTGTTGTGTTCCTTTGAGGTGTCAGGAATCAGGTGGACATAAAATTGCCCTTAATCCTATGACCCAGTGTCAAGATTTGGATATTCCCTGCAGTCTAATTTAAATATGCATACATACCTTACCTCTAATTTCATCAGTTATATGGGTGTGTTTGTGTAAATTTAGGTATTTGGGTGATGAGATATGCATATTTCATATAGATTGAAATGATAAGGACTGTTCTGGGTATTTCACCCTTATTTGTTGTCCTGGGAGCAGTCCTACACCCTCCTCTGTGGCTGAGATTAGAGGTTGTGATGTTCATGAGTGGGTGGGGAGACCTTCCCTGTTCTCTGCACTGCACTAACTTGAGTCCTCTGCCCACCTTCCTGTGTCCTTCGTGCCTGTCGACGTCCAGTTCCTTGGTCTTTTGTCACCAATGCTGCTCTTTTCCCCTTAATACAGGGATTCTGTGTTCTCATAGGAACTGAGCTTTTGCGTGGTTTACATGTTTTAAACGTTTTTATCAGTTGCGCCTTTTATTTTAACCTTGCTTTAAAGATTTATACATACAGACATTCTCAGTTCCAAGGATGTCATTTTACTTTGTTCCCTTTTTGATTTATTGCTTTTTAAAACTCAAAAAAATTTTTGCTTTCTGAGATCATAAAACTGTCCTCCATATTTTTGTTTCTTTTTTTAAATAGCAGAATGTATTTCTTGAGAGCAAGAAGGCTTCTGTCAGAAAGAGAGAGACAGAAGGGTCCCGAGTGGGATGCCAAAGAGTGTCTCTTTTCTAGGGACTTTTATAGAGCAAAACCATGAGGTGAGGAAGTCTAAGGTGGGTATAACATGGGAACTCGCAAGGTGGGCACGAGGTGGGGGAAATCTGTGGTCAACCAATAAGATTAATTGCACAGGTCAAATTGAATAAATTGGGGACAAGTGGGGGAGCAAGTCACATAACAAGTGGGCATGCTTAAAGAGCACTGACTCTTCCTCTAGAGGTTTGGGGTGATGACTTCTGGCTTCCTCAGGGTGACAGAGACCTACTTAGAATATCAACTCCTGATGCTTACCCATAGGAAGTATGTGGGTGCATTTGTTTGATCTTTTGTCTTGAGGTCTGGCCCACAGCAGAAGGTCTCTGTCTCCCCCACAGTTACAAGGTATCTCCCCTCTGCACTGGCTTAGAGGGCCCAAACCTGTCTGATGCCTGTAATATTTCTAGTTCACTCAGCACCCTGTAACATCCCACCCCCTTGTCTGAGGAAGTAACCCTATCTGCCATGAGGGAGTAATGGGCGATGACCAATCTGGCTTCTTCAGTCAGAAGGGGCTCATAGTTGTTGATGGGCAGTCAGGGGTACCATGCAAAGGTTTTATCTAAAGACCCTTGATAGACATCAGGCATTTTTATCTTGGGCAGGTATACAGCTTTATGTGTGGAGGAGACAAAGGCAAAGAAACAAGTATGTGTGGGCCAAATAATAGAATTATTAGGATCATTATATGTACAGTTAACAAAGATTTCCACCAAGAGGAGCCAGTAATGACTTTCCATATGGACACAGATAAGGTCCAGGGAATTTTAGAGTCTGACATGGAACTGATTTGTCAGCTAATATCTTAAACAGCTGTTGAGATATTAGCAGCAGGACTAGGAATGAACACACAACATTTAGGTTTTAGGATTTGTATAAGTATCTCCTGGCTATTAAAATATCTAATGCCATCCGATTTTGGAGGACAGCCTGTCTCATTAATTATACTTATTTTTTTTTATTAAGGAGAGAGACCAGCTGAGGTGCCATTTAAGGCCCATTGAGTACAGTTAATTAAGGTCTCTGTATGTATCATATAACCTTTTCTCTGGACAAGATCCAGTAGAGCCCAAGAATCTAAAAGGAATTTATCATATGTGCTATTGATTTATCTGTATGATTTCTTGGGGTTGGCATCCCTTAGGCAAGAAGAAATTTTAATCAAAGTATGTATAATCAAAGTATGTACACAAAGGCGTGTAATCAAAGCAGGAACATTGGAGCTGACAGGTAAGTTTCCCTTGTATTTTCTTCTCCAAAGATCTGTGTGTGGCTTTTTCTCATTGAGTTAGTCTGTATGGAGTTTATACTTAAGTATGTTGTGTAGTAGAAATATCATTCTTTTCTGTCCAAGTGACTTCTAAATTATTTTCAAAACAAAGCATCTCCACCCACCGTTAGAAGCAGCTCTTCTATTAGATGCTGAGCCCTCCTGTGTGCTGGGGGTTTGGCCTGAATTCCTCGTGTTTCATGATCCATCCCAGTGCCAGAGAGACAGAGACACTTTCCCTCCCGATCCGTTCTTAGGTGGGATCTTTGGCTGAGTGTAGGAACCAAACTAACACAAGGCAGATTGGTCCCAGAAAAGCATACAAGTTGTATTAACCTATGTGGACTCGAGGCTTTTCAGAGAGGTGGAAGCTCTGAAGTCTTAGCCAGGAAAATGCTTCTGTGCCCTTTAAACAAACAATGGTAAATGTGTCAATAATGAAGGGATAAAGGGTCTATATCCTGGAGCAAGAATTTCTGGGGATGTCTCTAGGAGCACAGGAGATTGTGCCACTAGAGAAAGAGAAGAATTATAGACAGGGACTTACTTGTCCAGGACAGTGATGGGCCCTGATTTTTAGTCTCTGCTGTTAAAATTCACCTTCTTGCCTGGATGTAGGGAAGATGTCTTGTGACTTGCTTCAGGCAAGGAAGGACAGTGCATGTGCGCTGTCCTGCAGATTCAGCTCTTCTCATGTGCTCACCTTGAAGTCGTCAGAGTTCTCATGCTACATGTTTGGGACGATGCCTCCTTAGCTCCCCTGCAGCGTGCACCACTGGGCTGTCTTCCTGCTTCAGTTCTACCATTGCTTAGACTCTCCAGGGGATGGTGTCCTGGCTTTTTAAGAATCATCTTATCAGATGGCATAGAAAGTGGTAACTGTCTTGTTTCCAGAATCAGTCCTCTAACTGTGCTTGCCTTGTTTGTGCTGCAATTCAGGAAGCATGACCTCTTCATGATGTTTTTTCTGCTTTGTGACGATGGTTTAGATGGACCTTCATTTGGAAGATTTAAGAGTATCATTTAAGTATGAAGTTTGTTTTATAAAACCCTAGTGTATCTTTTTATCTATCAGGAGGGTTGATTTATTGGTCTGTCTCTCTTCTGGGGGATATTCTGGTGGCCTGGGATGTTTCTGCCTTATGTTCCCTGTGAGTTCATGTGTTTTGCTCTTGCTCATTACTCCCCACCCTAAGATGTCACCTTCTGTCTTAGCATTTTTGTGACATCTGTGACTTTTCATTCCCTGGGTCTGTAGCACAGAACCAAGCTTCTGCATACGTCTGGGGTCCTCATCGCACAGCTCTATGGAGAGCATCCTGTTTCCTGTCCCTGGTAGCTTGGTCCTATCTCTGCCCCGCTTAATCCAACCTAAACAATAAGCAGCTTCCCTGTTAGCACAAGGCATCTTTCCTCAACTGCTTTTTATGAAATGTGGGGCTCTGCCCTGACCCCACCCTCAAGTAGTCATAGTCGACTTTGCTTTGAGTACCCCATCCCACCCTGCAGTCACAAAGGGCTCTTGGTTCCTGCTTATATCAGCTGTCTGTGAGGAAGAACACATTAGCACTTCTGTTGTCCCTGTCAGCAATCCCCAGCAATTTTGGCTTCAGGGACTAGTTTCATGGAAGACAGTTTTTCTATAGTCTGTGAGAGGAGGCTTTGAGATGCATAAGTGCTATGCATCAT